ATCGCCAAGCTCTCCAATCAAACCTGGACAAGATAACTACGTGGTGTTCTTTGTGGCTAATGACCCTCAACCGTAATAAAACAAAACATATCATTTACCAAATGCTCTACTCAGATTCCAACCTCTTACCTTCTGAAAAAAAATACTGTTGCTCACTTCTACATATAAAAATGTGGGTGTCCACTTTCAGTCCGATTTATCCTAGCACTACCAGATTGATCTCGCTTCCGCTAACCGTTCCCTAGGATTCATAAAGTGCAATCTTAAACAAGCACCCGCTCATTTACGAAAACTTGCTTATATGACTTTAATCTGCCCCAAAATTGAATATGCTTCTGCCATATGGGATCCTTAGCGAGCCTACATTATAAGTAACATAGAGTCCCTGGAAAACCGTGCTGCTCGTTTTCTGTTTCAACTACTCGCCATATTCCAGTGTCACCGCATTAAAAATCAGGCTGAGTTGCAAGACCTATCATGCCGCCGTAAACATGCCTGTCATTATTTCACAAGCTCTAATACCATGCATCGCTTCACGACAATTTTTTTCAAATGCCCCCAATTATCCTTTCACGTCATGATCATTCATTCAAAGTGACGCGCATCACATGCCGCTCATTTAGTTATGCACGATCATTCATACCACGAACCATAATCGACTGGAACAACCTACCGGCTCACATTGCAACTGAACTAGATTTCTCAAACTCCCAAGAACTCGTGCAGTTGTACTAATACTTAGCATTCTTATTTATTCCTTGTTGTTATATTGCCTTGTATGCCTTTTGTTTTTCTTTGTGTGTAGAGTAATATGTTTGCTCCTCCCCCCCTATGAAACACCCTTCTACAGAGGGCCTTTAGGGGTATTTTGAATAAACAAATTTTTGACCACTGAATTGTTTACATAGTCGTTCTGTTGTCGAGAAATCCTGAGACTGACTGCCGGCTCATGTTCGTGCTGTTAGCGAGATTTTCACAACCCTGTTTTCGGTTTTGTGCTTATTAAAGTGTTCATGCATTCTTTGGATTGGTGTTAAAGTATGTTACATTGTGCAATTCACCCTTTATTTTGGTGTGATGTGCAAAGGCTATCAATTATATACACAAATTTATGAAACTGTTAGAAATAGTATTTTCGAGAAAAGTCCCAATAGACATATACAAAGCTCTAAGAATTGACTACCTGCACGCAAGAACACAAAGCCTTAAAGGGATACTGAACCAAAATTTTGAGCTCACTAAACAAGGCCGGGCAGATAGGCGGGAAGCTGCAAAACCAAAAAATATCACTCATACAGCGATATATATAACGGATTGCCATATTTTTTGGAAAAGAAGTGCGCGATTGAATTCGGCCGACGAGACAAGGCACGTCACGATCCCCATTCTCTCTCCTCGCTACGTCCCGTCAAGCTGGTGAACCGAAGCGAGGAGGAGAGAAGCGAGGCCGCTTCTCCTCATTCTCAAATTCTCCCGGAGGACAGTTACGTCAAAGAACTCGCTTGATCACGCCCTTCTTTTCCAAAAGTATGGCCATCTGTTTGAGATATCGATGCAGTAGTGATGTTTTGGGGTTCGTAGCGTCCCGTTCAACACTTCTGCAGCCTTACTTTGCGAAATCCAGATTTCGGTTCAGTATCCCTTTAACGTAAGTAAAATTTTGCTTTCTCGGGTACTCAATTTCACATATTTAATATGCATAAACTCGCTTGTACCACTGTATTATTCGACAACAGTTTAAGTAGTGCAGTAAAGAAAACGTGAACATTAAACAATGACAAATCAAGTCATTATCATCCTTCGCTTGTAGCACGACATTGAAAATTTTCCAATCCCATCTCGCTCCACACTGACTCATCAAAAGATAAAGGCAAGTACTTGGATTGCCCCTGCGTGCAAGATTCCGTGATCGGCCAATGATTAAAACTCAAGAGAGTTGCGAATACCCAAATAACATACTACGTCGGTCAAACAAAATTAAAATCTCAGTCTATGATTTCTTGTGACACAAGTGTTACATCGGGGCTCAGAGAGCAAACTGAACTGACAGCGACAACGTGCAGACGACAGCGTGGACACGGAACGGGCTGATCGCGCTGCTGACGACAGCGCCACTCGCGGCATCATCACGCAGCAGGACGGCTTTGCCTCCTCCGATAGTCACACCTTCTCCTTTTAGTCACAATAGTTAGTTGAGTGAGGAAAAGTGGCAAATCCCGTGCACTGACATCCGGAGTCCCGAGTGAAAGATCGCGAAAGAGAGCGACGTAACATGAGAGAAAGAAAGCAATGTTGACAGCTGAAGGACAGTCGCAATGGTAATCACGAAGATCTGGTTTAGTTTTGCGTTGACGAGGCCGTACACCTGCGCGCTATGCAAAAAGCTTCGAAAGGAACGCGAATATCTTTCCACCGGTAAGTATGTGGATTGTTGAAGTTCATTAAACTGCTCTGATGATAATTATAATCGTAAAATCGAAGGCAGTTGGTAACCATGTGTGGGACGCCGAAGGTCTGCCCCCATGCCCCGCCGCTAACGGCAGCCAGAATGCATGGGAAAATGGCGGACCTTTTTTTCTAGAGTTAGTATGCATAATCTTTATGACCATGGTGCGGGGGTCGCGGCACGTGGTGCCACCTGCCTTCAATTTCCAAAATAGCTTTAAAACGTTGACGTCAGTTTTCATTTCTCAGGGAGAAAGCAGTTGTGAACTTGATAGTAAGTGCGACATAGGCTGAAGTATAATGGTAGGTATAGGAAGGTTCTGGGGGTTGGGTGAGGGAACTGTGGGCCGGATCACAGCCATCCGACGGCTGGCCGAGGCCTGGCGCTCGCAGCAGATATGCTTTATTCAGCGTGAAAATTATTATTCCTCATTCGCTTTGCATGCTTGGTTTGTGAAAAAGAATAAGTTTCATCCTATCTCACACTCGTGAAAAAGTCTAGCTTCTTTAATTTTTTGTTTGTTTTGGTGTTATGGTTTTTGCTTTGGTGCCTTACACACGAGCATTAAGAACGCCGAGTTTGAGTAAGATGTAAAATATATGATGCTTTCCTCTCCACTTTAGTGTCAAAGCTCTTTATAATTTTTCCGACAGCTGTACGTTTTCAAGACCTTTAAACGCCTATCTTTTTTTATTTCTGGCGTTAATACATCTTTTTTTGTACAGCCTAAATGAATGAGAGTGAGGTTTTCTTGACTTCTGAATTCTCAACTAAAATTAAAGAGCAGGAAGTGTCTGAATTGATTTTGTCTAGTGAGCATAAGATAAATGGAGCAACATCAACTGCTGTCTTTTCTGAACGCGCACACATTGTTGAAGTACGCCGTAAGACATAAAGCACGTGCTGGAGGCTGGACATTGAAAAGAAACGCACTGACTTTCTCACTTTTCCAGTGATCCTACATGTCTTTCTCGCCTTCAGCAAATCCACGGATGGCCAAACACCTCTCAACTCGGCACAAATTGCAAACGAACGAGACTGTTATTAGAATTTGTACATGCATCTGTTGTCATTTTCCACATGCTCCAAACCATATATTAGCTGCAGTGTTTCTAGAGCTATAGGAAAATGAGCAAGAAGCACTGCAACTTGTACGACGACATCCAATTTATAAATCCCGGCAAAGCGAGACAACTACTGGCCCCAGGAACAAGTGCCTGGTGCCACAAAATATTGCAGTCACGCAAGTGCTAGGTAGTGACGGTTGAAAAGAAGCAAGTGTCGGTTAACAATACGCAATTAGGAAGGTGCCTGTGCTGAGGAGTATCAGCCCAATAAAATCAGTCCAAAGTTCTCCTACAGTCCCAAGTCTCTTTTTCACACGATTTGGGAGTGCAGTGCAAGGCCTTCACATGCATCAAACATCCACACTTAAAACATGATGTATAAACCTGCTAGAGGGCAGGAACTGGGATACTGTCAGAACCAACACCAGAAGCCACCACTCTTTTAACTGCTACAGTGAGACCCCACCTTCAAGCAGGATGGCAAAATGGGAACTTTCTAAAGAGCTACTCTGCCCATAGCAGATTTGCTTCAGCTAACATACGCAATGGAAGAAAAAAAAGCTAACACTGTCAACCTTTATATTAGGAACAGTAACAGAGAAGTCTGGTTACATATTTATCATCTGCAGATTTCATTCAAAACAAACAAATATAAAAACAAAAAATAGATGCAATAAAGATTTCCTTCTAAATTCCCTACACAATACAAAAATAAACATACATTGAACAACGATTCAAAAGATCCTGTAACCAAAGCCAATCCACTGCTGAGTTAGTATTCTTTGAGACTTTGCTTCACTGATCCCCCTCATTCTATTAAAAATATAAGAATGTAAGCCATTAAAGAAACAACTCTCCTGTGTTACACAAAACAAAAAGCAAAAGGAATTTTCCAGCAAACAATGACACCTACGGTCAGAAAATTCTGATGCAAACAGCCAGGCAACACAGAAACAAATGCCAGGAACATGAACACGGAACAAGACAATACTGGAAGCTATAAAACACAAGACAAAGTGATATCTAAAAACAGGTGTCATTTAAATACCTGACTGAGATGCGAATGCGAAAACACTTTGAGTAAGAGCATGTTAGTCCAGTTCCAAACTATCCACAGGTTTCGTCAGTGCAGTACCGAAGGGGCATTACAGTGTATTCAAAATGGGAACAGTGCCAATACATTCGAAAAACCTGCTGGGCAGTGTGAGGGGCATTCAACTAGCAGTCTCCCAAATGGTAGCTCAACTTAAAGGTCAACTGAAAGGCACTCTGCAAATGTGCATCTGGTTCTGGCAGATAAACTCATATTCTGAGCAAAGTTTTGGGGGCACAGTTTCAACTTGTATGGTTTTTAAACACAATGTGTTTGACAATGATTAATCAGATTGATACTATGAGAAAAGGCTTTGGGGCACTGCTTGCACCTAAATGGCTTTTCACCAGTGTGTTCGATTATAGCCTTGCAGGTGGGAATTTCGAGCAAAGGCTTAGGGGCACTGCTTGCACTTAGATGGCTTTTTGCCAGTGTGCAGGAGAGTATGGTGTTGCAGCTGGGAATTTTGAGCAAAGGTTTTAGGGCACTGCTTGCGCTTAAATGGCTTTTCACCTATGTGGGTTAGAGTATGGAGTTGCAGTTGGTAATTCCTAGCAAAGGCTTTGGGGCACTGCTTGCATTTAAATGGCTTTTCACCAGTGTGTGTTTGATTATGACTTTTCAGATATGAATTTCGAGCAAAGGCTTTGGAACAGTGCTTGCACTTAAACGGCTTTTCACCAGTGTGCATTCGATTATGGCTTTGTAGATGGGAATTTTGAGCAAAGGCTTGGGAACACTGCTTGCACTTAAATGGCTTTTCACCAGTGTGTGTTCGATTATGGTTTTGAAGATGGGAATTTTGAGCAAAAGCTCGGGGGCACTGCTTGCACTTGAATGGCTTTTCACCAGTGTGGGTTCGATTATGATTTCTTAGAGCAGTATCTTGAGAAAAGGCTCGGGGGCACTGCTTGCACTTAAAAGGCTTTTCACCAGTGTGCGTTCGATTATGGCTTTGAAGATGGGAATTTTGAGCAAAGGCTTGGGGGCACTGCTTGCATTTAAATGGCTTTTCACCTGTGTGCATTAGAGCATGGCGTTTAAGATGGGAATTTCGAGCAAAGGTTTTGGGGCACTGCTCACACTTGAATGGCATTTCACCAGTGTGCATTCTATTATGGCTTTGCAGATCGGAATTTTGAGCAAAGGCTTGGGGACACTGCTTGCGCTTAAATGGCTTTTCACCTGTGTGCATTAGAGTATGGCGTTGTAGTTGAGAATTTCGAGCAAAGGCTTTAGGACACTGCTTGCACTTAAATGACTTGACACCAGTGTGTGTTCGATTGTGACAGGTCAGAAAAGAATTATGAGCAAACTCTTGAGGGCAAAGCTTGCACTTAAATGGCTTTTCACTGTTGTGCTTTTGAGTGCTGCCGAGCACACGGGTCTTAGAGCCAGACTTGGAAGGATGCTGGCACTTGGATTGTTGACCATGGGCAGCCAAGTGGCTCACAATTTCATGCTGATCTCTGGTGACATAGGTGCAGGAACAGCATCTGAACCAGATGTCCTCAGTGACTTTCAATCTGTAGCTTGACTCCCCCAACAACGTTGCACTATCCCCTGGAAGAAAAGACCATATGTATTGACACACAAAGAAAGCCCAACCAAGATAGCAACTTAGTTTGGGAAAGAGTAGTCATTAATGCAGTTTTGCCACAGCTGTGCAGTTTAATATTTTGCTGCACTTTGAAATTTAATTCACGCAAGCAGTCATATGCAACTGGCACCATTTCCTAATTTTGAACAGTGGAAATCCTAGAAAAAAGTAATACATTTTATCTTAATTTCTAAATTACACTTTACATATCTTCTCACATTCGGAAAGTTTTTCTGTTTTCTAAAAATGAACTTTTTGTGACAAGAAAATGTTTGTGGTGCAGTACCTCTGGATTTAGAATCTGGATGTGAATACTTTTGGGGGCTGGATACTTCATTATTCAGAGTGGAACAAAAGCAATATTTCTGGAGACTGTTAGATATGACGTTTTTAATTGGCCATGACTGATTATGCAGGTCAGATCAAAAGGTCTTCCTTGAAGTTATTAGTAAAAGAACTTCAACATGTGATGCAGTCTTGTCTCGTTAATATAGACGTCTCGCTATAGACACAATTTTAGGGGACCAAACCTTCCCTATAAAACTGCCTTGTGAATATTAAAACCCGACGTTAGACTATGGACAGCTAGTTTTGGCAACTAAATAAATACATCCAGGTTTGTCTCATTATTACAGACACAAGAGGGACCACTAATAAACAACAAGAAAGAGCTTACTTAAGACCTCGGGTTACAATGTTCACGGAAGGTTTCACAACTGTCTGCTGTAGGTTGTGCTTCCTTTGAAGGGCATAAAACTTTGACATCAAACAATGGTTCAATTTATCGGGGCTTTCCAGCCAAATGTGTATCCTTTCCTTCTCTCCTTGCGTTATGATGTTCTTCAGGTTTGTAATCTATGGCCGCTTTTCTAGCTTGTCGGGTCTCGTCTATGCTCATTTACAGGCAGTCACGTTTTGGAAGAAAATCAGTCCGGTAACTGTGGGCACACCTTGCTAAGGTGATAATTTCAGAGGGAGCACTTAACTAGCTCAGATCAGGACAGGATCAAGTCTTAAGAATAAACACATGCAGGGCTAAATTTGAAGATATAGATAAAATTTGCACTATGTGTAATGAGGGAAACAATTGGAACATGTGATTTATAACATGTAAGGACTAGTGCTGCCGTTCCCAAGCGTGACAGATGTACCGGGGGCCCTGAGTTTCGCTGGAGAGGATGGCAGTTTCAATTACAGTAGAGCAGATGCAAGAGATAGGCCAGTGATGGTGAAAATTATCTTGAGAAAACTGATTTAAGAACTAATTAGCACAGCTGGGGGATAGGAGAAAAATTGGGACTCCCTTTCTTGTGACTGTGGCCCAAAGTCTTAACTTTCTACTCCAGTTGGTTTGGTGTTGGAGCGACACCTACAGAAAATTGGCAACTCCCTCAACGAGGGAATGAGGTGGGGGGGTTCATGTTGGTTTTTTTACCCGATCCCTTAAGAGTCATCCCAGCAATAACCTCCACGGCCTGGTGATATTGAGAGAAATGCATTGGCTTAAAAGGGACAGAATCAAATTTTTTTGTTTTTACACTAAATGGCACAAGCCAACGCCCGTTATAAAGGGTACAGCCATCAATGTCCATCCTTCCATTCATCCACATTTTGACCAAACATTTAAACATGGTATTTTTATATAAATAGGTAAAGGCAAAACATCATAGGCCTAAAAGGAGAACTTCCAAATGGACCGCTTTGTGTATGTTTCGATGAGCAGGAATGAGCAGCATGTCTTGGAAGTTTTTCTTAATGGAGAATCAGAAAGGGTATGTTGAAACATTGATACATCATGGATCAATGAGTGTACCTAGATCAGGAGTCTCAAACACTTGGCCCGCCACTCGCTGGGACGCGACCCGCAGGCAACTCGCTGCAAGCCCCCAATCCCATGTCTCGAGAGGTAGAAATGATAAACGCCATACTTCATGTTGTCAATTCGGTCCCATTTGAAACATAGTTCAGGTGTTATAGTTTTATTTTGCCTTAGTTTAATTACTGCTTTCCAGCTTTTACCATATTAATCGCCTATATGGCAATCCCTCTACTATTCTCACCATCAGAAAATATCACCATTAAAACACAAGTATATTCGAAGATTGCCGCTACTGAGGAAAGCAGAACCTGCCGTGAAAATATATATATATACAGTTGAACCTCGATGTAACGAAGTCGGTAAAATTCGCAATTTACTTCGTTACATTGAAATTTCGCTAAATCGAAATTTAACTTTAGCATGCGAAAGAAAAAAAAAAAAATTCCGAAACATTTTACGGGTATGAAAACTCACCGAAAATGACATTTATTTAGGGGCAAAGTAGTCCGCGAGTTTTGCTTGCGCCTTGTCCGACAGTAGCAGCGGCGTCGGCGGCGTCATACGGCGTTCGAGCGCCCAGAGCGCTTGCACGGCATCTTGCTGCCCATGCGACGCCGTGTACCTCCTCAGTACGTCCATTGCGTCGAGCACTTCCCGAGTGCTCGTGATCTCGGCAGTTTCTTCAGGATGGCGTCCAAAACGTTTGCTTTCTCATCCAAAGAAAGAACTTTACGTTTCCTTATGGCAGCAAGCACGTAAGTGAACCGCCCGGTTAAAAAATAAAGCTGTTTAGTTTAGGCGGTGCCAATGTTTCCAACCTACACAGCACTCTTGACCGCACAGTTTACTTGCCCCCTTGCGCCCAGAGTGCGCTTGCGCCTTTGCTTTACATCATGCTCGCAAGACAATAATCGGTCTTTTCGGTCTTCTCCTAGATGGCACTGCCCGTGCGGTCACGCGGTCGCGCCATCACGTCGCTCCCCCGCTGAAGTTGGCTCCCGCGCTACCCGCGGTACAGTGGACTATGGTGATCAGTGAATGTCAGTGGTGATGCTGTTATGCCGTGTTAACTTTTTGCTCGGTATTTTCTGGCCAGCCTCGCGGAATCCGCTTTGCCGCATGCCTCGCCGGCGCTACCGGCGCCGCATCCTCGGGCAGCCTAGGAACGTTGGAAGGCCTGTCCCCGTGAAGTAACCTATCAAGCGCTCGCGTTTGCGCATATTTTTTCTTTAACCACAATTTTTTTGCGAAGTTGTTTTTTAGAGTTGATTTATTTATTGCCTTCTATGGCAATGGCGCTTCGTTATATTGAAATAGCAGCAAAATAGACTTCTTTATATAGGGACTAAAAATACATGGGGTCTATGGGCAAGAAATTATGAAAAATAAAATACTTCGTTAAATCGAGGATTTCGTTACATTGAAGTTTGTTATATCGAGGTTCGACTGTATATACAATTAAACCCGTTTATAACGAACAGCAGGAAATGCTATGATCAGTTCGATATAGCAAGCAGTTTGATATAGCAAAAAAACATTTAGAACGAACTTCCACGATGAGTTCGTTGTAAGGAGAGAGCCTCTTTCTTTCTCATCTCTTCCACCTTGTAACAGCACGCTAAAAAGATTTTTTTTGTGCAGTTTATTTTTTCTTAGCTTATCTCTCCTCAATCGCTTCTCCACGTGGGCAAACGCTTTGAGGTGAAAAGATTTTTATTTTTGCCTGTGTGCAGAGTGTATTTTTTAGCTTTCGCCCCCCACCCCCTTTTCTGAACCACTTCCCTTCGCTCAACTTTGTTCGCAACTTCAGCTTTTTAAATTTCCTTTCTTTCCGACTTCTTTTCTTGGGGAAGGGACAGGCTACAAGACGATTGTTTGTGTTTTTTTGGAAGCTTCCCGGGGGAAAGTTCGATATAGCCAAAATGTTGTTCGTTATAAAACATACTTTTTACATCCATTTTTACTTAAATTTTCCGCGAGTTCAATATCGAAAATAATTCGCTATACGTGGGTTCGTTCTAAATGGGTTTCACTGTATATATATTAGACCTATTAAGTTCACCTAATTTCGAATTGAAGTGCTCTATAAAAAATTCCAGCATGTTGGTGGGGCGGTGCCATTCTAACTTCTTATCACAACAGGTAAGGGCCAAAAGTAGTCCTATAAAGAAATTAAATTTAAAGATGTCACTGGCACAACTGAATTTACAAAAAGCAGAAAGCATGAGGTTCCTCCTTAATAAAAATCTCTCAGCCCTCCTCCCTTCCCTCCCTCCCCTTCCCCCTTTGCCTTACGTTTGCCATCAACTCTTCAAGGGTGGGTTATTGGGCGTCCACAAGAATGAGTATGAGACCCCTGACCTAGATCATATGAAGCCAAAAATTACTCAGTTCCCCGTTTGGCCTTTGCACCAAAAGTTGTCTCTACACGGCGATGCATTGGAAACCCGGCCATTTACATGGGAGACATTTAACAAAGTTGTAGCAAATTGATTGAGGCTTTTCTTATTATTTTATGAATGGAAAACGAGTGGCTGCACCAGCTCACGTCGCCGTCTCAACTGCCGTAGGCGTGCACAGAGTTCCGCGTCAGGGGGGCCCCGACTCACATGAAAGTGCCCCTTGCTCCCCAATGCCTCCAGGTTCTCATCCAAAAAATGTCCTTGCATTCCGCGGACATGCAATGACTGATTTATACATTATAAGTATCTGGCTATCTTGGAACTTTAGAAATCATCTTACAGCCTGCATGACTGTCATCATGCTATTTCCTTTTTTATGTGTTCACATTAAACGTGCATACTATCACAAACTGCTTAGCCAGAATTATCATTTTCCATAAATATAAACTTAGACCGCACTCCAAGCAATGTCCATTCTCTGGGGAATGGACTCACCGTGAGGGGAAAGAATGTGAAGGAGACTTATTCTTTGCACTCATACAGGAGCGCAAGAGGCGCTACTCTCAGTATTTTAAAATATCCTACTTGGATATCCGACAAAGACTGCAAGGGGCCATTAGTGGGGATTAACATATTCACATTTGATGAATACAATTTCCCAAAAAAAACTAGGATCCCACAAACAAAATTCAGTTTAATCCAACTGCCCAAAAGACGTGCAGTGGTTGAATAGCCTACCGTAATATCCCGAGTCATCGCCCCCCCCCCCCCCCACCCCCGTTTTGAGCGAAATATCGATTTCGTAAAAAGCACCGACTCAACGCCCGCCTGCCCCCCCCCCCCCCCCTTTCCGGGCAATCGATCTCGTAAAAAAAACACCGAGTCATCGCCCAGACCTAAAAAACGTCAATT